TAAAAAATGTTACCAACCGTATGACATGAATAAAAACATACTTTTTTCGTGTATGACAATGAAATTTGTTGTAAATAATGAAAAAAAGGATCTATGAGGTATATTTGAATTCTTCTAACGCACAACTTTTTGTTTTACTGAAATGAAGTAACTAACCATATCAAATGAATAAAAACAGACTCATTTCGCTTATAACAATTCCATTTGTTATAAAGAATGGAAACGGGTTCTATTCGTATTGTTTCTTCATTTTTTTCACTGGGAAGTTGGTCGTATGGACTTTTCGGGTCGCACTCAGACCCCTGCAGAGCGCTGATATTTTTTAAATTGAAATTTGACATAACCGAGTAACTCTGAGGGTTAAGGCACTACTTTTCAATTTGAGTAGTCGCAGATTCAAATCCCATTGGGAGAAGACGAAGAAATTAGTACTTTTATTGGAATTTTCAGTTAATTCAATAGTTCTTCTAAAAGATTGAAATATAGATGCAAATTAAAATCAAATGTTATTTGGCTTAAACAATTGACATATTTACTCATACACATACTCGTAAATTTTAGTGGAAAGAAAGACAAATATTTAAGTCGAGATCAGCTTTTGAAAATTTTTAGACCTGGTTTGGATTTTAAACAAAAGAAATGATTATGGATCAATTATTGCGTATGTGGTTCCAAATCAAATCAAGACAATTTTAAATTTCGATCTGCTTTTGACCTTTTTTCCGAAGTCGAAATCAGATCTAATTTTTTAACTCGGGTCAGTCTTAAAAAATCATTCAAAGAGTACATGTTAATTAATAAGAATTTTTATCTTCTTTTTAATCGCCATTTATTTCATTCTGGATTACCTGTTGATTTGGTTCCTTTTGAATCGAGAACGAGGTCTTGTAAGTTCTTCTGACAATAATCAGAGTCAGTTGGGTCGATTGCTTCTTTGACCTTGTTCTAAGTAAAAGATGGCTCCTAGACCTCCGAAGTTCCTATACTCGCCCTCAACTAGACTTTAACAACTTATTGTTCGTCAATCAAAAATGACTTGATAATAGCATTTGCCTCACGCGAGATTTATTTAGTTTAAAAATTCTCGTTCACGAACGTAATTAATTACTCTTTGGAGGGACATCGACGGATAATTAATTCGGCAATAGATAAGGCTACTTAGAACTTACAAGGAAGCCTCGCAAGGTGGTCACCGTCGATTTAACTGAGGCTTCTATATGATATTCTACGTCGAAAATAATGAATGACGTATTTTTTTTCCTTCTGCGGGAAAACGTTTGAAGGGGTCAAAATCACCCTAAAGTTGACACCCTGTAATGGGACCAATTTCAATCGAAAAAGCATAACAAATTACGAGACATGTGTCTTTGCAAATTTTTGAAATAACATCGAAATTGACGCCAAGAGAAATATTCCCTTTTTTCCCGAATTTGTTCAAAAATGAAGAAGATAAATTATTTATTCATTGTACGTATTATATATGATGATCATTGTAAAAATATTCAATAAACAATGATTTTTCACACTATGTACAAAACGGATATTTGCAATATTTTTACATCCTGGAGTTTAACAATTATCTTCAAATGCAAAATCGACTGGATTTTCAAATTCATCTGATTTAATAAACGATCTTTACTTTCCAACCATGAATAACGAACAAGATCAGTTTATCGCGGAGACGAGAGTTGATTATGGGCCAGTGATTGTAATTTAATAATATTACCAGAAATACAACGCGCGGTCTCAATTTGACAACATAAAGAATTATTTAATTTTTATTTTAATTCAATTGAAAAATTCAAAAATAAAACTGACTAATCAGTGTACGAATAAAATGGTTACGCTTTAATATTTAATTACATTTATACGAACGGTTTTTGTAATTGTATTGCCTGATAGTAAGTCATGAGTTTTAGTAGATAGGATTTCTTAAGGAAGTACCCTTGGTACGCAGTAAGTCAAAGAATTTTAGTCTTCTATTTGAGTAACGTAGTATATAATTTGGCAACACGGTATTCCTTGCTGTAGTGTACGTGCTCACGTATAAGTATAATGCTTATGCATACAGAATATAATAGTCAGCACACGGTGTCCGTCATATGTTCGTCAAATTCACATTATTTTATGAAAATGAGCGAAAAAAGATATTATTGGAAGGGAAAAAAAGTGTATGATAATCGAGTACGACAAAGTAAAGTAGGTGAATATATTCGAAGCGTTTACGGGAAGAGCAACATTTCTAACCTCAAAGAAGATTTTAAAAATTATGAAATTGACGGCTGTCGTGTTGTGCACATAAAAACACTTGCTCATCAATTGCGATGCAAAAAGTGTTTATCGCTGCTTTCCTTGGAGGATATTTCTGAAGAGAAGAGATCTGGACTGGCTTCAATTTTTTTACATCACTTGTAAAAATTGTCAATTGTTGAACGATGTGCATACTTCGAAAAATCACAAAGGAGTTGGATGTAGAACTCATTTTAATACAAACACAAAAGCCGCAGTAGGTTAGTATAGTTTTGAATAATAATAACGATTAGTTTAATCTATATTAGATTTGTATTAAATACAAATGAATATGTTTTTCCATAATTAAAATATGGTTTTCAGGTGTTTTTAATGGAAGTATGGGGCACACCCATTTAAATAAATTTCTGAGTGCTCTAAATATTCCAGAAATGCATTGAAAAACCTTCAAAATCCACGAGAAAGAAGTTGAAAAAGCTATCGAAGAATTGGGTCGAGATAGTTACAAGAGAGCGGTTCAAGAAGAGAGGGAGCTTACCATCAAAAATCACGAAAAATTAAAAAAATATTGTAAGTTTTAGTTTTTCAATTATCGTTTATGTTACTCGGTATGATAATGGATGTTTTACGCACATGCAAAACGTGTATAAAACCCTAATTTTCACACCTTGTAAAATGAAATTTTGTGTGATACTTGGCTAAAAAACTTTTTTTGATGAGTCCTCTAAACTCTCACTCGTCAAAAAAATTTTTTTCGAACTTGTACCATAATATCGGCACATGATAGCAAACAATTACCATAAAAAGCAGTTTTGAAGGGGAAAATGTTTAGGATTTATTTACAATTTTTTTATTGTAAATAAATAATACAAATTGTAAATACATATAAAAATAAATATTAATTCAAAAAATTGAATAAGTCAATATACATAAATTCAGAATAAACAAAAAAAAGTTATCGTAAATGTTTATTGCACGAAATCAATTATATTAAATTAATAAAAAATGTCGACGTTCGAATTCATTTGATTTTTTTTATTTAGACCCAGTCACTTACAGCAAGGGTATATTTTTCTGGATGTATCAGCTGAACAGGAAAGAAGAGGAACAATTTCTGATGATAATGTCGTACGCATAGCAGCCTCGTTCGACATGGGTTGGCCAATTAAAGGAAGCAGGAGGAGTTATGATAGCCTTTCTGGAACAGGCAAATTGATTGTTTATTTTACCAAGAAAGTGCCATTGCAGCTGTGAGGAATGCTGTCAATTATGAAGTGGTCAAGGTAGATGATACCAACCACACAAGCAAGGGTGTCACTTGGATACTGTACAAAATTAAGTCCACATTCAAAGAGCTGACCAACACAGTAATTCAGTATCTTGGAAAATGTTTCAATTACTGTATTGCTCAGAATGTGGGTAACAGCGAATCAATGTCTGCTGCTATAGAAAATATTTCAGTTCATTATTTCAATGACCACCAAAATTGCGGCGAATGGTGTGGATTTCATAAAAATCCTAACACTTATAAGCACTCGGTCATCGGTGATGGTCTGCATGAACAAGAATTATACATTGCTTTACAAAATATATTTAACGATATCGGCGACTAATCGATTAGATTTTGTGGAGGAGCCTCGAGTAATCCAAACGAAAGTTTAAATGCAAGCATAGCGAGCCAAGCCCCCAAAAGCCGGCTATACGGCCCGTCATCATAATATAATTTTGAGTTTCACTCGCATTAAACCAAAAGAATGATAGCGAACAGTCGATCATTGGGTTGGCAGATACATTGTTAGTGTCTCCAGGCAAAAATACCTCTAAGTATTGCAGAAAAATAGATGAAATTGCTATGAAGCGTTACAAGAAATCAATAACTCCAAAATTTAGAAGCAATCGTATCTTATTAAAAAAAAAAGAAAAATCAATTACGAATGAGAAACGAGTTTTCAGAAGGAACCACTTACAAGACTGACATAGGATTGTTCAATGCTCTAGATATTCCGATTCTACTCGCGGATATCAACACCGAGTTATCGTCGCTTATTGTTTTTTTTCGATTCGGAAACAGGTGGCTTTAATGCAAGAACTAATATATTACTAATAGCAGCCAAATATGAAGAATATGAGTTTTGTATATTGTTATGCCGTGGATAAATTTCAGGATTTCAGTCAATTTAAATACACAAAAATTTATTTTAAGTGATCACAAATTTATTGTCACTTTTAATATTAATTACACTTAAATGTTTAGCACTAAAATTATAGTTAACAACAGTACAGTTAATTAATCACTTCTATTTATTACTGAATATTCTAAACTTATTGGCAATATTCTGATTCTTATTCTTCACATGAGAAAATGTATCCTAACAGCGGTTGCTGCAAAGGAAGCGTACATGGAAAATCACTTTTAATCTGTTGTTCTGGGATTCGCCGATACACTGCCATTGATAAAAAAATGCACTGAATTGAAAGGAAAAGGGAACAATAAACTGGAATCTTTGGCCAATAAATTCGGTATTGAAGCTTCCCAAGTACACGATGCTGTACACGATGTACGTATCTTGGAGGAAATTTTAAAGAAACTCAATATTGTTGAGGAGAATATTATCGAATCAACTTTGACTTGGGGCGAAGCTCTAAAAAAGGAAGATTCATCTGTGAAGATTAAATCGTTGGATACGTTAAAAGATTGTACGTCTGTTGGTATTAGACAAAAAATGATTCTTTCAGACACTACATATGACATGATATTAGAAGTCTACGAAGAGGGAGGAATCAAAGGAATGTCAATGTTATCAGGCAAAGATGAAAATGGAAGGATAGCAGTGACCAAAAATGCTAACTGTTTACAAACAATAGCTAATTATTTAAAAACAAAGTTGGCTTATTAAGATATATAGAGCGAAATATATAGATTTATATATCAAAATATATTTTATATATACGGTTGTTGAAGATGTATGTCATAAATTTCCAAAATATTTTATCAAATGTTCAATGACAATGTATGTAATGTAAATTGATAATAGAGTTTAATTATTCTTTATTCTTTTGTTTTTTTCTTTTTATTGTTTTCTTTATTCCTGTCATTTTAAAAATAATAAGATACTATAATTTTTTTTGGAATATTATGCTTTTAGCATTTACTCAATTTACGTATGCTCTTACGTTATCCAAACTGCTGCAGTTTCGTGACTTACCTTTGAATGAGGTGCCATAACCTATAATATTGCGGTGTTGCCATGTTTATGAATTACTAAAAAATCTCGGATTTGTTTGATTCATTTCTAACATAAGCAAGCTTTATACGTTTTGAAAAAAGAAAAATTTCCATAGAATATTCGTCTATATTTTCTTAAAATTTCATCAAAATCTGTTTGTCAATTCCAACGTCATAAATGATAGAGTGCACCGAAATTACAAATTCCCATAACACTCCATGTTAAGTGCAAAATAAAATTATCAATATCTTTTGTTAAAGTCAACCAAAGATCACAAAATTTTGACTGAGTCATTTTTGAAAAAGTTTCGACATATTTGCAAATTTTCATAATTTTCTGATTGATCATTTATTTATCGAGAGTACTTCCTTAAGTGTAAATTTAAATCATTTGCTCGAAATAGGACATTGTTTATGTAATGTCTTACAAAGTTTTTTTATATTCTAAACCTAAAAACATCTAATGTTTAAATTTGTCCAGTAGCTCATTTAGGAATAATCATTATCTACTTCTTTATTCGATGGTCTAGCAAACGTGACAGCTTCAGAACAATATCCAGTCCACGAATCAATTAAAAGTAAATTTCTGTTCAACATTTGGAAAAATACATCCTTCAACGATATCACTTGCACTGTTGTCACATATTTAGTAATCAAACACCAAAACTTAAAACACTTCTATGTTTTTCACACAAACTGACCATCTTGATCGTTTCTTGAAGAAGTTTAAGAAAATACTAAAATTGAATATGTATGGGCCTCAAATGTATCTAAAGAGTGTATACTCTTAAATAGGAGAATGATTTATTTTGTCAGTTATGAGAGTTGAGGCTAGTTTTATTGCTGTATGAAATTTTTCCGAGCATAAACAAGACTACGTTTACGTGTTCATTTATAGTTATCCTAATAGTAGACATATGTTGTCGGGAAATTTTAATCCTGAGCCTAATGTTTATTTAACTAGGCGCTGTCCATTTTTTTTATTATAAGTAAAAGAATATCTTTTTCATTTAGATTTTTTTGGTTATTGGGCAAATTTTACTAAAATTTACCCAGATGGTTTTGTAATGATTCATACGCGTAGTTAGTAAAATTCCTCAGATTCTGGAAGTATTATGCCTTTTCGTGGCTCCTACCTCTTTCCACCGAGCTTCATACGGCCTGAATTAGAGTGAGGAATAATTATATTCATCCTCCCGGAGCAGCTAAACTCTTTCCCGGATATGAATTGAAAAAATATGCTTCATCACTGTTATTGTTTGCAGCTCCTAACAACAATATATCTTATTTACTTAATTCCAACTACCCAGCACCATTGGAATATTTTTATTTGGATAAATATAGTGGTTTACTACAAGTAAGCTTAATTGGTGGTAGAATCCTAGACAGGGATTTTGTCGCTGAATCCTATACTTTGAATTTAAGAATCCGTGATAATTATATTTATAACAACACTTGTAAGTAAACATTTATATTATTTTTCGGAAAGACTTTTTATACATTCGATTTCTTTAATTGACATAACTTGTATGAAACAATGATATTTTTAATGGCACATTAAACGCAGACGTAAGTATCTAATATTTAAGTCATTTTTTATACAAGGTATGTTTCATTGAACTTTTTTGATAAATTTTACTACTACTCATATAAATTGATCTGAATAATAAAATTTTATTGTATTGAAAGTTTATCATTGTACGTCATAGGGAATTCCAATGCAATCGATACAGTCATAACAGTGGTTTTAGACGATATAAATGATCAAATTCCGAAATTACAAGAAGTAACTAACCCTATAATTGTGAATGAATATACCAACCAAAGCATTTCTGTTACGAATATTACTATGGATGATCGTGATGATCCAAAAACTAATAACACAAAAGCGATATTCAAGATATTAAATATGACTCTTCTCAATCAAGGATCAGAAAGTAATAGAATAAAAAGCTATATTCTATGTCGTGATCCGTTTAAAGTAATAACAATCAATTATAAATATGCGAACATTTTGACAAACAGACCATTATTTGGATGCTATGGTACCTGGGCTTTAGAACTTTACGTAAGTATCCTTGGATACGATCTCGATTGAGTGTCACCTCCAAAATCAATTAATTGTATGGAAAATTATTCGAAAGAGTATACAATTTCGTTCAAACCGTAAGAAAAACGATACCGATGAAAGAGAAGCCATGTTTGACGTATGAAAGCACAATTGCAAACAATTACTTTAAAAGCAGCCAAACAGACGTGTGTTTTAAAACACACATCTGTTAGGAATAGATGAAGTGGTTGCAGCCAGCGCATAACTAGGAGGCCTGAGTTTAATCTCCAGTCCGACAGAATATATATTTCGCGAAGAACTCTTCTGTACTGATTATAAAGTCATCTATAAATCGGTAGAAAATTGAAAAGTGGAGGTGTCACCTAATCAGCATTTTATCCGTATCCTTTATCCATAAATTCTACCTAATTTTATGTACTTCAGATGTAAATATAGTACTGACACTAAAATTTACTGTTATCGATTATATAGAGGTTATTATATAATAGGTTTACAAAAAAATTGGTCCAGCCTTTTTTAATGGAAAATCAAAAACCGAAAAAAATGGTAAACTAGCTAAATCGTATCATTCTTTTCACTAGGAAGTTATACTTCACTCTAAATTTGACTGAGATCGAAGCCTTATCATTTTAACAGCCAGTGTGTTCCTTAACAGACGATTATTAAGTCGAATAAAAAACTCAAAAACTAATACAATGATTCCTTTCATAGTGTTAACATCCAGTCATTGTTTATGACGGAACCAAAATTGATTATCATGTGCAATCGCACTTCTAGACGATTTGACTTTACGAGAGATTCTTTATATTATATGGGAGAGGTCATATTGAGCATACTTTGATGAAAACTTAATTTATAAATCTTCATGGTCGAATTTATTCTAGGCTCAAGATTTGGGAACATATCCAGGTTCTTTAAATGACACTAAAATTTATTACATATATGTTAGCGATTATAATTATAACGCACCAAAAATAACATATCCAGTAAATAAACAAAAAATCGCTCTGAGTATAAATCAAACTTTATTAACAACTTTAAAAGCTTACGATGGCCAACCTCTGAAAGACTTCACAGCACAAGATAGTGATAATGGTGAAAGTGGCATTGTAACTTTTCAAATATCGAGCTATAGTAATTTTTTTTAAATATGCATAATTTTTTTTGTACTTATATTAAAAGGAATGTTAATTTTCGTTTTTGAACTAGGTAACGATCATCAATTTTTCAAAATCGTCAGCACGAATTTAAATTCAGCTCAACTGCAATTAACCAAACTACCAATTATTACAGAAAGCAATACTTATCAGGTAAAAATAGAAACCAATATATTTTAATGCACTAAAAAAATATGTTTATATATATATATATCCATCTAATGTATTATTTTGGGATAAGGGACTGGTATCCTCCTCTCGATTTCCAAGATTTCCGTTCGGCCTTCGGCCGCACGGTTAAAGAAAAAAAAATAACCCTGCAAGTACAGCGTATGCAATTACGGTGTACCTTTGCCCTCAATTTTACCTTTTTTTTCAAAAAACAAAAATTAATTCATCACAACGTGACAACGTCGTGTCCTCAAATGATACCTTGTACTTAAGAAATGTCGCCAATAATACTCTGATTAGATTTATATACATTTCATTAATGATTAATCAGCTCTTAATTTTATTTTCAACGCCGTACAAACTAATAATAAGTAAAATAAATTTTTTCCAGATAAATCTCACAGCAACTGATCATGGAACACCATCAAGGAACATTTTTCATGAATTTAGTGTTATATTTGTATCAGTACGTGGACCCGCATTCTATAAGAATGAATGGTGTATTTGGATAAAAGAAAATACAACTACTTTGGATGAAAAAATAAAAATTCCTGAAGCACATGACAATATTGAAGACTCACATACAATCCCAATTTATTATTTCATCGATGATAAAGGTAGTAATCATTTGTAAAATGATAAATTATAATGATTCAATTGCTAATTTTTTTTTATTATAGTTGGTGATAATGAGTATTTTCAATTGCATAAGGATTCCAGAGAATTGTCCTTGAAAAAAAAATTAGATAGAGAAGAAAAAGATGTACTGACGATTCAGGTTATTGCTACTGCAAGTAGTTTTGGGCCTCCAAGAGATCCTGAAAAAGAAGCGATTCTCAATATTACAATTATCGTTGTTGATATAAATGACAACCCTCCTATCTTTCAGAGCAAATTTTATTCTGCAGGTGTTGCCACAGGTGATGTGATAGACAACATTATTCTAACGGTCAAAGTAAGTATGATTACGACTATCTATAGAGAAGAGGTGGATTACAATAGCTAATAGTTAACAGATAAAAAAAACCAGCTGCCGTGAATTGTGAAATAGTAAAAGAGAAAATATAATAAAATGTACAATAATGAGTATAACATACTAAGTACAACATCAGAAAAAAAATGATGCTTTCAGCTGGGAATGAAACAGAAACAAAAGTGTAGTTAAGTATTCGCAAATACCAATTCTCGAGTACCATAAGCAACAATGAATATCATAAAAGCAAATAAGACGGCTAATCCGATTGCGAAAAAATTTTGCAAAAATGTCGAGGACATTGTGAAAAAGGTTATAGGCTATTTCAGAGGGAAAGTTTTTCTTTCGTTAAATTGAGTTACAACCCATTTGAAACATATGAACACATACTTTTGTTTATAACAATTAAATTTGTTATAAACAATAGAAAACGGGATCTATTCCCGAGTAGAATTTATTTGAGCATGCCTAAATACCTACTGGACTCTTATTGGGAATTGGATGGGTTAGCGTAAATTAGGCATTCCTAACGTATGCCTGATCAATTAATTTTTAGGATGAAATAAAATTTGCCCAATTGCGCCCTACCCAATAACTTCCCAATTACAACCTTATGACCTTAACTAAAACGATGTCTTGGTTCGTCATTTCTTAGGAAATGTTTATCTGGTCCGCATTAGGCTAACATAAATTACATCTAAATTAGGCACATATTACATAATCCTCATTCAAATGTTTGAAGAACAAATGAAAACGTTTTAAGGATGAATTTAAAATGAATTTGTAACAATATAAAAGATTTTTATAAATTTAAGTATTTTTTTTAAATTCCCATAACAAAGTATTGTAGTGATAAAAATATTGTCAAATATTCTTTTTCTTTAAACAGTAGTTAATTGTTGTTATTAAACCTCAACTGAATGATGTTGACTAGAAATATATTATAGTTTCAGAAAAAATAAATAATTTAAAGGTATGAAAATATTGAAATCATTAACATTATTTATTATTGAGATTTAAAGTAAATAATGATTTATATGATTCTTTTAAAAAATTATACATATGGATTCGTTCATATTAATATAATAGTCAAAAATTTTTAATTGAATAAATAGCCGAGCGGGTAAAGGCACTGGTCTCAGATACGAACAAGCTAGCGATCGTAGGTTCGAATCCCCCGAGGAACAAATTTCAACATCTGTATTTTCGTGGAAATTTAATCAAAATACGTTTAATAATTCTTATTTCAACAATATAAAATCATAGAAAATGAGATAATCAAACAAAACTTTCTTTTTATACTTAACTTTCCTTAATTAGGCTTTTCTCAAATTAGGTGCGAACTCTTTCTCAAAAATTAATTCTACTCGGGTTGAATATATTTGAGTTTTTCCAGCGAGAAATTTGTTCTTCTACCTGAAGAAAAGTAACTACCCGTATAGAAGTGACTTTTTTCTGTTTCACGGAGAAAAATAATCAGAGCTATATTACTTGACTAATCAAGTTAACTTATTCTCGAAAACGTCACTAGAATTCTGATTAATTTTTATTCGCAGTGTGAAACAGTTCCTTATACCATCTGATAAATATTATTAGAAAAATCAAACAGAGTTAATTTAAGATTTTTTACTTCATTTCTTAATCACTTTCTTATGTTGTCTAGTAAAAATGACTGGATAGACGAAAATAATGAGAGCCTCATTAGTTGACTAGCCGAGTCAACTTATTCTAGAAAACGTTGCTGGAATTCTAGTAAAATTTTTTTGGTATTATGGAACAGTTTTTCATACTTTCTGATAAACAGTATTCGAATAACCATGTTGCCAAAATTTTATGTAAATAAAAATTTTGATTTTTTCCAATAATTTCGGATAGCCAAGCGGGTTAAAGCGTCGGTTTCGTTAGTTGCGTGCGTTATAAGCGATTGTAGGTTCGCGTCACACCAAAATCAATCTGGCTAATTTCTTCGCCGTGCACACACACATTCGACATCATGAATACAGAAAAATGTAAACAAGTACCCAAACGTGAATTTGACTATATCCAACATAAAGTCTATCAAAAATAATTGAGAGAGATGCCGAGAATTTTAATTTTCAGTTAAAAGTTGAAATTCTAAAGCAGAATATGTTCAAAAGCTTCGAATAGTCCACACGGTTATTACAGATCTTGACAGCGGACTCGATTAAAATTCAAAAAAAATTTCGTTACCTACGACGCAATTTCAAGAAAATTGATCATTTATATTTTTTGTTTAAATAGGCAATAGATGCAGATCTCAATGAAACTTTAAAATATTATATTAAATATGAAAGTATGAATATTTCTGATCCATCATTGGCAGAGGCAGCAGCAAGAAATCCTTTTATTCTTGATTCAAATTCCGGCGATTTATTGTTGAAATTTTCTCCATCGACGGTAATGGCAGGATATTTTTCTTTCACCATTATTGTATATGATACAGACTTACAAAATGCTGATACATCTTTGATACAAGTCTATATTGTTTCGCAAGATAACCGTGTAGAATTTACATTCAGAAATAGTCCATCATATGTTTCTGAACAAAAATTGTTTGTAAGTATTTAAAGTTAAATTTATTAAGTTAACATTAGATTAGTTAATTAATTTATGCTTTATGTATTTCAGATTATTGATATTTTTTATACTGCCTTTAAATATAGATGTAATATTGATAAAATAAGAGGTATTTCAACAGCAAGGAACAGTCTTAAAAATGAAACAATCATAACTTCACACTTCATTGACGCTAAAAATCATTTACCTATTACTGCTGATGTGATAGTTCTGTATGAAATATTATTTTCATTAATGTGAATAAAATTAACCCAATCCATTCTCAAAATTGGCTTAATACGAAACGAATGAGGGCAATTAAAAAAAAAATAGCTCCGTCGTTTTCAAAAGTCGGAAAATTGACATATATTAATGATAATACAGTAATACCCCGGACTCACGCGATAGGCGGGGCCAAACGATAACCATGTAAGTCGAATTCGCGTAAGTCGGGGCTCAATTGTTTGGTATAATCGAACATTTCTTCAATTTTACTATCAGTGAGCAATTGAAAAACTGCACATCTCCGAATTCGCGTAAAACAGGGTAGCGTAAGTTAAGGTATGACTGTATTTAAATTTAGTTCGCAATCGGAACAGCAAACCGCGGAAAGCCACGATGAGTACGGGCACAAAAAGGAGGATCCACGTTTGACTCTCGGTCCCACTCAGTTGTCTTTTTTCTGAAATAATAGCCCTGTACGAACGTGGTGACTACAAAAAGGGGAGTGGAGGGTAATGGAGTGATAGTAAATAATTACCCAAATTAGTTTAATGTTGAGCAAGGATCGGTGTAATTTTTATTCTTGTTAAGATCTATAATTATTCAACAATAGATGTACTAGATAATAATAATTACATTCAATTTTTTTCAATTCAATGTTATATTCTAGTGCTTGTGGTAATCTACAAACTCTGACAAACTTGAAAGCTCTTCTTCAATCCAAATCATTATATCTCATTGATGTCCCAACTGGTAGTTCATCTGTTGTTGATGATACTGAACAGACAGTCCTTTGGATTCTTCTGACTTTCACCATTTTTTTCGCTATCTGTACTATCGCATTAGCCGTGGCTTATGTAACAAGAGTTAGAAGGTAAGTTTAAGATAATCTAAAAGAGCACAGAAATATTGTACTAAGTGTTGAACTTTGATACAATTTAATCATCTTTTCGAAATAAGTCATTATTTATTAAAAAATTTTTTCTAGTTTACTGAGGCGGCTTAATGGAGTAGCAGCAGGAATTGAATTAGACAAAAAATCAGATGATACGAAAATATTACCAACAACAAATCATTTTGCTTTATCAGGTTCTAATCCAATTTGGAAATCATCAAAACCCGTTATTGATGTTAGAGATAATATAAGGTAATTATAAGTATTATGTCTCTAACAATCTTAATGCAAATATATAAGTTTTATTTTGAAAATTATTGGAAAATTGATCGGACATAAAAACTTTTACAGTCAAATAAGTGGAAATTCGGACCTCATTGGAATCGAAACTGACTCTAATTTCAATTATAATCATAATAACATTAATCCATTTCAAGAAAGTATAAGAAACACCGAAAAAGTACGTAGACCATTGTTGCTATCAACTGTTTCATCATACTCTCTTCATTAAATTCCCATTAAGAAGTTATAGTAATGGGTCCGATTTTGCGAATCCCCAATTTTGACATATCTCCACGTTTTAAGATATCCAGAGTCGAATACGACCATTTCCAAGTGGACGCATGGGTGTACGTGCGTTCAGAATTATTTTTCGCCTCGATAATCTCGAAAACAAAAAATGATATCGACGTGGAACCAATTGCATTCGACATAAAATGATGCAACTTAAAACTGATTAGATTTTTAACAAAATCGGTCCAGCCATTTTTTTGCGATACTTGATGGGACATTTCTTGTTCTTTACGGTCTAACGATGATTTCTGTCACTTCATTTTTCTTATTTCCCGCCTATTTTTTGAGATATTCGATCTCAAAAAATAAAAAAGAGCGAGCTACCTATTTTACAGTTATTATGCCAATTTGTCAGTATTACAGAATTCGTTCCAATTGATCTCAAAACGATTCCTTAGCATAATATCAAACAATTTAATCGTTTTTTTTCTTTTCCTATGTCTTAGATTATTTATTGTCAATTAAAGACTTCGATTCAGAATTTTTTTTAGGTTTGTCGATCTTATACTAAAAAAATACTCCAATCGTTTTCAGAACTTTAATGTAACTTTATTAGTACTATATAAACATAGAATCAATTCTACATGGAGTCGGTTTGCTGTACATCTATCATCATTGGGGTTAAATATTAAAAATTTTCTCAATTAACTACGATAAAACCTATCATAGAAATGATCTCACTTGCACTTAAGTAATTGCACAATTATATCGTACAATTGTCTTTGATTAATATGCATTTAAATAATTTACTTTTTCAGATAAATAAAAGTTTTATTGAATGGCCAAAACTGATTCTTGAGGATTCATCTGTCTCTGAATATCCTGAAGAAGATATTAAGTGTTAAATGAAATAGAAGCTATGTAGTTTTTTTTAACCATTACTCAAGTGTGCTAGATTAATACCAATCAACGTCAATAAAAAAGAAATAATTTCAAGAACTCCAGACTTTATTTAGTTAAACATTTGTCACGCATTGAAAACGTGCTAGACAACTATAAAACTACTTTATACTTAAAATTTTGGCGAAAACAGTTTTCGAACTTCAAACCATAGTCATCGAAATGTTTTCAATCGGGAGTTAACATTAAAATAGTGCAAGGTTTTTTATTGAATGAGTTTGACGTATTTTTCCGATAAAAGAATTCGATATTATAAAATTTGATTAAACCTTTTATTGAATTGTTTCTGAGCGAAATGATTATTATTTTTTAATTCAAATTTTTGATAAAAAAAAATTTATATTTAATTGAAATATTGTGTTTGATGTATTAATAGAAAAATATCAATAAAAACAATTCTCTAAAGTGAAAAAATATTTTTATCATTCAAAAAATGAAAAAAAGAAGTAAAGAAAATGTTCTTGATAGTGATGAGTGTAACGAAATTGTGCAAAAAAAACTAGTTCAAGATTGTATGGAGGATTATTCGCTAATCAGCTATGAAATAATTCCATTGGACAGTACTACAGGATACATGGGTGAATATTTTACTTTAAAAGCAATTGTAGGTCGAAAGACAAATCTTTCAGACAAAAAAACTCTTCAATTTTTTGCTAAATTACCTCCACTTACTGATAGTCCACTTCAAAATTTTAATCTTGAACAAGGCTCATTTAAAAAAGAAATAGATTTATATACTAAAGTATTCCCTCAATTGTTGACTGGTGAAATGGACTTCAATATTCCTAGATGTATTCTTGGACTCGATGATAATCTGATAGTGCTAGAAGACATGAGTACTCAGGGATATAAAATGACTGACAAATTTACACCTTTTGATTTTGATCATTGTAAAATTATGATGAGCACTCTAGCTAAATTCCATGCTAAGTCACTAATATTTGAAGAAGTTCATAAAAAAAATCTGAATAATGAATTTTCTTACTGTCTGCATGAGACCCTTTGGCCAACTCAAGACGGATTAGCCAAAAAAACGTTTCATGCTGCTGTGAAAGGAGTTATTTCTATGATTGACTTAATACCAGGTTTAAAGGGGTTGAAGAAATCTCAATTGAAAAAGAAGTTTATAGAATTATCAACTCATCATGCGGAAAACTTGAAACCATCAAAACACCATCGAAATGTTATATGTCATGGTGATTTGTGGGCAAATAATATTCTTTTTCAGTATGATAATCAAGAAAAGCCAATTTCTTGCTGCTTGATAGATTTTCAACTTGCGAGGTAGTTAAAATTTATAATAACAATTATTAACTTATTATACAAACAAAATAGTCATTTAAAATGTCTTCATTTTAGATATAATCCACCAGCTCACGATGTCATGTGTTTTTTAAATTTTACCACAACAAGAGAATTACGCAAAAACTGCAGCTTGGAACTTTACAAAATTTATTATGATCAACTGATTCAGTCCTTAAAAAATGCCAAATTACAAAATCTTGGCATTATTTCATGGGAAGATTTCAATATCTCTTTGAAAGATCTTCGTCTTACACATTTACTTCATGGAATTTTAAATTTGAATGTTATGATATTACATCCTAAAATTTTGGGTGAATATTTTACGAATCCTAAACTTTTAGAAGAAGCTCTCTACGTCGACAGAACACCTTTAATTTGTGCACAATTTCGAACCATAAAAGAATACAGAGAGAGAATGATTGAAATAATATTTGAGTTACATGAAGAAATTCAATTTACTCTGAATGACTAAGTCATTTTAACAGGTAAAATTATGAAAACTATATTTTTGAAAATTATAATTAGAAATTAAAACCATTTTTTTGATGATTTAATGTCATTTTTTTATAAGTAATATATTATTAACGCAACAGTTATAACTATTATTCATTTTCATCAAAAAACAAAATAGAGATGAAAACCTTTCTCATTTTATGAAGGACTCCCATGTATTTATGCCTAATTCAAATTAAGCTATCAGGAACGACATATCATCTATATCTTTTTATGTTAAAGTGAATATTTTAGCACAATATCGGTCTCTTTTACGATTACTTGATAAAAAAAACGTATGATTGATCCATGAATAAACTCTCAATTTTTGCGCGACGAAATTTCGTATATGACGAATGAAGCAATGATGATACTTTAAAGTATGCTTAATCGAAGGCCAACAATCGCTTGTCGTGCAAATTCTTAATTTCAGCCCATGTTTATATTATAACAAGAAAAAAATTTTGAATTTAAAAATTATTCCCTGCAAAAATCATCTTATCTATGTATGAAAAAGACAATGATCGGCCATATTAAATTGAAAAACACCATATTGGAAGCCGTATTGATAATGTAAGCTAAATGTAGCTAAATCTTCGAATTCAGATATGCGTAATTTTGATTTATTTATTCTACTTTTTTTATTGAGGTATTGATTTTGTTTTCTAGTATCTGGAATACTACTCAATTCTGATGAAACAGAGTTCGCGTAACATACAGTCCTCATTGGAATTTTGTTTGAATAATTTTCATTATTGTTTTGAGCTGTACACTGAGGAAAAAAAAGGATAATACTCAGTTGAATAAATGCCACGCTCAGGATTAAAATTTCCCAACCAGCCTACTATTCGGATAACAATAAATGAGCACGTAAACGTAGTCTTGTTGATACTCGAGAAAATTCTACATGGCAATAAAACTGGCCTCAACTCCCAAAACTGACAAAAAAAATTATTCTCCTTCTATTTAAAAGTATGCAATCTTTGGATACATTTGAGGTCCGTGCATATTTGAGTTTAGTATTTTCTTAAACTTCTTTAAGGAACGATCAAGTTGGTCAGTTTGTGTGAAAAACGAAGGAATGTTTTTCACACAAACTGCGCTGAAACATAAACTAATATTGAATTATTAGATGTTAGAATGGAAAAAAGTTTCAGAGCAAGACAAAGCTGAGTTATGTGCAATGATGAATACTTCAAATATTATGTTGTTCAAAGATTTTCTACCGAGCTAGTTAATTACACTGCAACCATCATTAACAGTAAAAACAGTGCATTTTGAAAGTAATAATATTAGAGCAGGTGACATTATAATATTGCATTTAGAAGATGGGCCTGAATTTTACATTGTTCATTTAATAATAATCGATAAACACGATTTTTTTATTATAGGAAAGATGTTGAATGATGTAGGTTTTAATTTGCATTTACAGTCACATGAAATATTATCGCCATCATTTTCATGAATTTGTAAAAATAGTAAAGATTTACATGGTTGTATTAAAAGCTACATTGTATGCGCCTCAAATATTTGTAAATATATTGTAAATAGATAAGCTTATGTATTGTGTTTAAGAAATTATCATAAATTACTTGGTAAAATTTACCCACACTTTATGGTTAGTTTTTCAAGAAAAATTGTCTCAGTGTAAAAGACGAAGAACAACTATCTGTTAAACTGTTACGTAGTGAAAATGAACTACTTATGATCCATTCAATCAACTGGAAAATTCTTATTTTGTAAGCTAAATAAAGAACAACTAATGTTCCTAAAGCATACATAGCGTGAGTTAACTAAGACATTATTTTTTCGTAAAGTGTTTTTGTGCGTTCACGATTTCCTATCACGGTTGCATCTCTGCTTATTTCGCTGAGTTTAGTTCCATATTTGGTTAGATCTTCTATTTTTACGTCAGGTGTCTCTATTGAGTGAATAATTTTGATAGTTTCAGGTTTTGGGGCCAAATATAACCCTTTGTCATTACTTTGAAATTGTATCCAAACAGGGTTTTTTACGGCTGTATAAACATTAACATCACTTACTAGTTAAATGATAGCAAAATATTCGAATTTGCAGTAACAATCATCTCGCATACCCAGACATTGTAAAACTTTGACGAAACAATCGATAATACCAATTTTTCTATTTTTACCATCATAATAATGAACTGCAGAAGTGTCAGTCTGCATACGATGTTGGTATTTTTTCGCTATATATAATCTATTCATTTTGAGTTATCTATGAAACTCCCATATAGTAATATTATTGATTGTTTTCCCAATGTTTGTAAACATTTATATATTCCCACTGAATATGTATTATTATCTATTTCTGTATTTATTTGAGATTGTATTTATTAGTGCAGAATTGTAAGACCATATAATTTTGTATACTATCTATCAAAAACAATAAAGTAAATAAAAGATTAAATTATAATAATTAGACAATTCATAATTATAAATTTTATTCCACTTCAATCATATTTACTGGTTCTATAACGTATTTTTTAGTATTACATACAACATCAACATGAATACAAACAGAACTGAGATCTTCCACATTTACAGCTAACGTTCTTTGAGTATCAATATATTCATACACATATGTAAAATGAATGTCTCTTATAGGATAAAATTTTAGATAAACATTACAAACGTTTACAATAGCATAACTTATTAAATTACATTCATCAGTACAACTTCCAGATTGACATGAACAATTTGAAGTTTTTACAAAACAATAAATGTTTCCAAAATATGTTTCCCTATTATGAATAAATTTTACATATCTCGAATTTGTCTTTTTTAATCAACCATATAATTCCGATGTATATAAAATTCCACTTTTCATCAACCTTAAAAACAGTTTAATATCGGTATAAGATATATTTTGTTCCTGCAGAGTTACATTAATGATTTGAGGTATCATGTCCATTTCTTTTGGCACTCCAACTATATATATTCTTCCAGAAGCATATTCTTCTCTATATTTTGCCTTTTTTTTGCTTAAATATTCGCAGAATTCATAGACTGGTGTATTTGGAATCAGAATTTCATTTTTTAAATTCGGCAGGTTCATAAACGTTGCAACTTCAGAACGTATTTGGGTTTCGGCAAATCTTGTTCCAGTCACCAATGTTCTTAGATCACCATTGGCATTTTTATATGAAAAGCATGAAGTTACCCACAAAGGCCTGAAATCTCTAACTGTCTCAGCTAAATGCAGCAAATTATGAATATTAGCAGTCATATGACGATTACTGTATAAATTCGAAAAACGAGACACAAATTCTGTTAACAACCTCTCTGCAGTATTGACTTGTTCATCCGAAATACTTTTTTGATTAAGAAGATAAATACCATGGACTAACAATTTATAATGATCAAAATACATCTCGTCCATGGTTGAATGTAAAAGTGGTAAAGAATAGTAAAAGAACCATGCGTTCAGTTCTGAAGCTTTAAAGTAAGGTAAGGAATCGGAAATAGATCGTAGCAATCTTATTATAAAATCTAGTGGCGTAATAAAATATAATTTACAATTGATCATTGCTATATGGTTATGCATAGACCAATTTTCATTCGCAAAATTGGAATGAAACCACAAAACTAATAAACTCTTCACTACACCTAAATATGCGCAATGGATTACATATACTGCTGTCAGACGAATGAAACTAAAACACTAAGTCCTTTTATTCCTAATATATCAAAATTAGGAAACTCAGCAGCTTGTCTTGCACATTCATTAGTCTCTTCTTGACTTCTCAATGGTAAATTAACTATGTATGGATATATTCTGACATTGATTCTTGGTTCAGCTGGTTGAGTTTTTATCTTGCATTTTTGGCAACCATACACACCATTATACTGTTTCATATTTAACATCAATGCTTTAGCCAGAAGATCACAAGTTCCACAGATAACTGCAACTTGAACTTTGATACGATTGGTCATGGAATCATGCTCGTCAGAATGTGGTATATTTATATAAATACCATTGTTAAGTTTAACCAATTCATCTGATATTGATCTTAAAAATACAGGTGGTAAATGTTATAATCTAGATTCATATTTTTCTTCTAATATTAATAAACATTATAATAAGTAAACAGTGGAAGCAAAAGACGTAGAAGTATCAGGAACACAGAGAAGAAGGAAAGTAAGCAGGTAATAGAAAATAAAAAAAAAATTTAATAATAAAAAACCGGGACATAGAGTTTTGAGGCGTATGCTATGTAAGCACAGGTGAATCCTGCGTGGGAGAGTTATAGAGCCAAAAAGATGTGCCGGACACTAGACAAAAGGAGAAGGGAAAAAATGCGTAGATAATTGGAGGAAATTAGCGCTAGGCCTAAGTAATTGAATTAATTAAAACGTTGGATTGGAGAACGCCAATCGAGAAGCTTCCAAAGTATGCGCGAAAAGCACCTTAAAAAGCGCGGACTTGGACACAAAGGATACTCTCTTCCGAATTTTTACTGGACGCGGTGCAAATCCGAACTCAGCTTGATTAAACTTAGAATATTATCTTAATTAATTCTTAAATTAATTTTCTTTATCTCTTAACAAAGATTATTTAAAAGAAAAATCACGAGTGTAAGAAGAAAGAAGATCAGTCGACTAGGAGGCTTCAACGAAGATTTCCAATGAGGCAACGACAACTTTTCACCAAAAACAGCCATAAAACCATAAATTAATCTCAACAGCGCCGAAAGACACCGCACCAACGCCGAGAGCCGAAAGGACAATTGGGTCTTGACTCGAAAAAGAGACTATTCTGTTACTGAGACGTAACAGTAAAGGCTTTTTGTGACCAAATCACAATCCTGCTAATAATAAATTACCTTTTTTGAACCTTTTAGAATATGGTAGTTCATTAATACTTAAGAAAAATGGCCATATTTAAAATTTCGAAGATTTGAATAAAGAAACACCATCACAGTTCCATGTAAATGATAATTTATGGTGATTTGTTATTATATTTGGATATTGATGTACTTCTTGATACACATTTCCATCATATATATCTTCATAGTTAGATGCAACAATTTTGTTCCTTTTATTACGATGTTTCAACATATCGATGAATTCATCACGTTTGTACAATGTATTCAGTTCTATAATCGATAACTCCATAAAGAGACTAATGCCACTATTAGGTGGACATTTTTCGCATCGATGGTTTTTATTTAAATGTCGTAAACATGACCAACAGTAAAAATGTTTTGCTGGCTTCAAAGAATTCATACTCGAAATACGTTTTCGATAATGATACATACTTTTAAAACAGTAGTTCGGCTGAATACAATGTAATCCAATGAGTGTTAACAGATCTTCAACAGCAGCTCCAGTTAACTTATGTCTTAAAAAGACAAAATAGCAAGCAAACTTTCACCTTGCGTAATCGGTGCATTCGCATATAACAGTGGATCTTCTTCATCATTTTCCGTATGTGTTGAATAAAAACTTTCCGAATCTGAAAGTATATCTTCATCATAGTTTATGTCTTCTCCCTCATCAGCTGAATTCGGAACATCGAGCTCTGGAGGTATATCTTCTTCATTATTTAGAGACATTTTATCCATTCCAGATTCGTAATTTAGGTCGTTATCTATAAGAAATAAAATATGATTATAAATATTGTTATAAGACATCACTTCGAAGATCATTAGAGTAATTAGGGACATAGATTAGTTTCAATAATTTATTATTATTGTTTTGATAAATCAGTTAGACTTTATTATCTCTCCTTTTCTTTATTTTACAATGTTTATATACATTTAATTAAATCCCCAAGACTTTAACTCCATAGTTAATGTTCAATATTTAAGAAGCTCCAGTAAATCGATATTTTACTTTAAAAACCAATTTCAAATAGAAAATAAAATGATGTTTTCTGTCAGGTTTTGCCTTATTCAGGTCAGATAATATGTTGTTCAATATTGAAGTAAAAGTGATAAGTCGATGACTGAACACGAAAATTACCAAGATCCGATTGGGTCCTATGGATCACTTTTGTATATTAAGTTATGTCTAAACAGATTCTATATTTTATTGTAATATTTCGCTAAATCGAATTTTTTTTATTCGAATGTTTAAATTAAATCGAATCCTTTTATTATTTATTCTTAGTTTGATAAGCGAGTAAAAAAATCAAGATTATACTACTTACGTCCAGTCATATTTTTATCGTTAATAGATGAACTTCTATAAAATTAAATAATGTACACTTAGAATGATAATTAACTGGTACATAAAATGTAAATAGAAAAATCATGACAAAAATTACCTTGGCACAGCATCAATTTCATTGTCACTGACACTGCCGAAGAATTTAATTGTTCCCTCATTATCGGTTCTTTCTAACAGCGACTCTCTGCAAATTCTCATAAATCGTTGTTGCGTCGGCAAACTGCAAATCGAAGTGGACGTGAACGACTGTTGTGACTCGTTTTTTGAAGTTATCGCAAATTGTTTTAGAGAAACTTTCAATATGGTTAAGTTAATGAAGGTACAATTATAAGTTCTTCGGGGTAAAGTTATAACATACTATACATAAAGTATACACTATATTAAAACGATAATTATAATCCACAGTTTTTTATTATTATTATTTGAATAATTGTTCAAACATTCGACTATGAAGTATCACAGCCTACATTTCATACTACCAAATATATACATATACATCTATAATTATTATTGTATATTGTTATGCCGTGGATAAATTCTAGGATTTCAGTCAATTTAAATACACAAAAATTTATTTTAAGTGATCACAAATTTATTGTCACTTTTAATATTAATTACACTTAAATGTTTAGCACTAAAATTATAGTTAACAACAGTACAGTTAATTAATCACTTCTATTTATTACTGAATATTCTAAACTTATTGACAATATTCTGATTCTTATTCTTCACATGAATCGAGAAAACTTTATTTATTTCTGTTTCTACTTCAATGATAGTTTCCTGTCGACTAACTGAATAACAAAAATGAAAAAATATCAAAATACAAAAGTAGTGCTACTAATGTGTTACTGCGCTTGAGAAAAATAAGTAGGAGAGTTGCCATGAGTCTCGAGACACAGGCGTAATAATATTACAGTCAGCAAAAATTAAATACACGTATGGTGTGAGGTAGTCACGGCGTAACACCCCCACCCTTAGATTGGAAAATCTTCCAAAAAGAAAAAGATTTTCAAAACAAAAAAGTGTTAAGTTGAGTCTTTAAATTCTGATATGCGTAATTTTGATTTAGTTAGTTTTCTTCTCTGATTTGAATGATGGTTTTGTTTACTATTTTCTGAAATGCTATTTAAATCTGAAGAAATAGAATTTGCGTAACATATTGTCCTCATTGGAATTTCGTTGGAATAATTTTCGTCGTTA